ACACTGTTAGGATTAAAAGCACTTGAAAGCTTGGGAAAAGCTTAGAACTGACCGTTCCAGTAGCAGCTTTTGCTCGCCCTAAAGCAGCATAGCAGTTACGAGGGCATTACCTGCTCAGACACCTCTGTGTTTGTTTCTGGTTTGGCCTCTGCCTCGGGCACAAGGATCAGCACAGACAGAGGACAGTGTCTGATTGCATGAAAAACAAAATCTGCTCTGGTTTCTAAATTTTCCTAATTTGCAACCTGAATAATTTTCTTTAATTACAGTTTATTTGTTCATGATATATATTTAGCTGTTTTTAGCTTTCAAAACTTAAAAGAAAAAATACAACTCCTGCTGCACTTGTTTCCTATCAGCAGCATTATTGAACAGGCTTAATTACCTGTTAATTGTTCATGGCCCTAGTGGTCCACTGACTTTTAAAAAGCCATTCTCTTCAGCCATTTTAAAATCAGGGTCTGCTTTGGTGTCTGTCATTAATAGATCTGCTTCCTCGGTGCATTGCTTCCTTTTCCTGTTAATTATTTTTAAAAAAGGTTTTAAAAACTTTGTTCCTGCTAAACTTTTTTTTTAACATACTTTTCCTTTTGCTGTGCTGATTATTTCATTTTGATTGCAGTCTTGTCTTTTCCTCTAGTCCTTTGAGCAGTGTGTCCAGAAACTATATTGACTGCTTCTATCTTTAATTCTTGTTTTTTAAAGTAACATTATGTTCACATAATAAAAAGTTTTCATTTTTATAATATTATATTTCGTCTTGTTTTATATTTCACAACAAATGGGTTGTATTTGACCCCAAATCAATCAACAGAAAATGGAACTGTGTAATTAAGTAACCTTCTAAGTAAATAAAGTAAATGAAGTCACTGCCACTAAGTTTTATGCATATCTTTAATGATCTAGCACTTAATTTGTCTCTTGTGGAACTTGAGAATATTATAAAACAGACATTTGTTACACAGGAGCTCTCTGGTAAAGCTCAAGTTCACCAAAAGCATAATAGAGTAATTTCATAGTTGTTTTTCTACTATTCTCCAGTCTTGATATTTGGGGTTGTGATTCCCCTCAATACTTAAAAAAAAAAAAAAAAAAAAAAAAAAAGTGACTTTATATGATATCCAGTCTATCATTTCTATTGAGCATTCTCACTAAAGAAGAGGAGTGAGTTTCTCATTGTTCCATTATGTTCCATTGTATTTTATCTTCTATTACTTTTTTAGGGAAAAAAAAATGAAAGAAAGAAAGCTTACTCTCAAAAGTCTGGTACCTTCATCTATTCTACTTGGATTTTAGTTAATATGTTCTTTTGCTAACCTTTTTATCATTTCCTGGGACTGTGTAAAGCAGCAGCAGAAAAGCAGGTTAATAGAAGAATATAGACTCTGTAAGTGTTCTAAAAGATGTGGACTTCGGTCCCAGTGGAGACTGACACTCCTGCCTACTTACTGTAGCTGGAACATATTGATTTTCTTCTCCCCCATTTTTAGCTGCACTGCTGAATTAGGTATTGTGAAGCATCCTTCCCCTTGAAGAGAGGAAAAACTGTCATGAACTTTTTCACCCTAACTGTACGGCATTTCAAACTGAACCAGATTGAATGGAAAAAGGCTACAAGGACTCCTGAAAACCTTGTAACTTAGCTCCCCACTCTCAGTTCTCCCTAGCAGACGGGTGCTCCAGCAGCCTTGAGGAAGTATGATAGATGATCATAAGAAAGGCATTTTTAAATCTTTTTGATTTTTTGGAAAAAAAAATAACAATAATGGGGGGAAAAAAAGTCCCTGCAAACAATGCATTCCTGTGGCATGATCTCCTAAGGTTAGCAAAATGGTCTTCCTCAAGTTTTCAGCAAGCTGCTCAGTTACTGTTATAATTGGCTGATGAGTAGGTTTGGACCTAACTAGAATGCCAGTGTTCGATTTCGCGGTGTCCTCTGTGAAGATATGTCACCATTTACCCTGGCTTTAGTGACAATTTTCTAAAAAGGAAACTCGTGGGAAATCATTATGCTGTTTATATGTCTCCCTTGTTGGAGAGCATTATCCTGTGATATTTTAGCACTGTTTTCCACAGCATGATGGCATCTAGCGGAGGTTAAGGCAGAACAAGTCCCTTTGCAATTTTGCGACTATATTTTACTGGCTGAAGGAGGGAAGATAACCGACAATTAAGTATTTCGGGTGTCACTGAAAGAACATGTGCAACTAATCAATGGCATCCTTGGGGAGCGTGATTTTATGAAACTGATAAGGTAGAAAAATTGGGATTTTAGTGATTTGTGTTACATAATAATAATTGCACCCTTTCAATGAAAAAGACATTTCTGCTGATGTAAACATCAGGCCTTCCCTTGTGGCTTTTTTTTTTTTTTTTTCTGAAGCATGCAGTAGTTCATTAAAGTGTGACAGTAACGGATAAACACCCTTTACGATTTTTTAAGAAAATACGGTGCTTATGCTCTTAGTTCAGCTGAAATCAATGAGTTTGAAGAATATATTTCTGGAGCCACTTCCCAAATCACTTGCCAGGGGCTGCATTAGGTGTTTTAGTTCTTTTTTATTTTAGGAGGAAATATGCCTGCTGTTTTTTTTTTTCTTAAATTAGCCTGTTTAACCCTCTGGGGACTCACATTTGAAACTCATTACTATCATCTTGGTAGAATTCAGATGCACTGGAAAACCACATTACTAATAGACTAATTGTGAGTTTTCATTTCTTTGAAAATATATCGTCTAAGCCTCTTGCTGCAGAACATTGGAATCAGTGGTCCTGTTTCCCAGGCAGTTTCATTTATTCACTTGAACAAAGACTGCGTTTGAGTGCAKTAGACACAGTGATGTGGCTCAGAGATTTACCTGCTGGCTTGTTTACTGATAACCTACTGCTTATAGGAGGACTTTGCAATAGAACTCCTCAGGTTTCTTGAACCTCTTTAGTCAGAAGTCAAAAATCTGTGGTGATAGACTTTGTTCTAGCTAAGTTACACCAGTTATTACAGCTTTTCTTTCTAATCTAAGAGTACTTAATAAAAAAAAAAAAAAAAAAAAAAAACCTTGAAAAATGTTTCTGTGTGTGCCCTAGCATTCACTTTGAGCCAGTTGGAAATAGAGGTAGGAAATACGGTTAGACATACACAACTAATGCTTTTTATTTGCTTTATTTTTTTTCTCTTTTATTTTGTATGATTTGATTTTCATGTTGATAATCCAGGATTCCACATTAGGAGTGGCAGGGTGCAAAATTGCTTTACCTTATTTTTTTCTTCTCAAGATGATAATCACCACGTGAAAGTGTTAGAAATTAGCAAACTACTTAGGACCCCGAAATAGATGTCATTTCCTTAAAGTTTTTAGTAAATTTTTTTTCCTATTAAAATCAGAACACGCCATATAACTGGTTAGCAAAGCATAATGCGATGTTAATCTGGAATGACTGGAAGTAGCAACAATAGGTCTGTTAGCATTATCAGGGCTGTTCTTTCTATATAGTGCCATATCCTCCTGTTCTTCCCCACGATCACTGTTCTGCTCACGAGCCCCAGCCAGCGGCTCAGCTTCTGCAGGAAGGTGTCAAGAAGGAAGAGGTTGCGCGGAAGTGTGTGGGATGCCCTTAAGCATCACACATATAGCTTTTTTTTTTTTGGTGGTTCTCCATTGCATGTTATTAGCAAGGTGGTTTTGTTTGAGCAAACCCTTCACATCGTTATGCGATTCACACACYCTCTGAATATGCCTCCCCCTCCACCTCTCCCTTTATGCATACCTTGGATGCAGAACAAGATGAATTTTGCAGCAGTAGAGTGCTGATTTTACAGAATGCAGATGAGGTGGCATGTAGTGCAGCATCCTCACATAGAGGTGAACTGAAAGGCTTGATACTTGCCTGCATCTCAGACCTTCCCGTTTCTTCCATAGGAGTTGACATGGGCATTAAAATCTACAACAGAGAGGTGCAGAAGCTGCGCTCTTTTGCATGCCCTTCCTTTCTTCAACTTGTTCATGGTGACCTCAGCTGGTGTTGAAGAAATATCAAAATTCAGACTTGGMTATATAACATAAGAAGGAAACCAATTCCAAATATCTTTGTTTTACTTCTCTCTTTATGTCCATTAACATTTTAGGTAATTGTCATGCTAACTGGGTTTTAACACARTTAATTTCACAATTAGTTTCAGATGAGTCATTGGTTGAATTCCTCAACTTTTTTGTCAGTCTTATGTGAAAATTAAAAACTATCAGTGATTTGGGAGCAGCTTCTGTAAGATAGTCAGATATCTATCCTTTTCTTTAAAAGTCATCCTTTCATGACAAAGGTATGCCTAACCATCTCATTTATTGTAAAGTCATCTCATTAGTGAACAAAGAAGAGAATGGAGTCCATACATTATGTTATTGCTGTGGAAGAATGTGATGGGTCTAGAGAGCAGCTTTTTGAGAGCTTTGTCATTGGGGATCACAGTGTAGGTGTAGGGACACATTGTAAGCTGATCTGTCAAGCCAAGCAAACAGTTTACCTTGCTAGCATTTACAAAGGCATGCATTAATAAAATTGTACAAACCGGACACTTCCTTTTTTCCCTCATGTGTTGTACAGGAATCTTCTGGGAGGTATATGTGAAAACGCTCAGCTGTAGCTGCTTTATTTTATGTTTTACATAAGCAGAATTTTATTCACAAACGAGTGTGCCAGTGTCTGAGTTTCCGAATCAAGACATCTCTGTTTCAGATATGTCTAGCTTGCYCCTGGTGATGGCAGGTGAAAATACTTCCCCTATACTCTTAAGAATGCAGTGGTATGAACAGAATGTTTTGGTAATTCATTAAGAATTTAGGTTTCCCAGCTGAAAGGAAGCATTCTTGTAGTAAGTGAAAAAGATTGAAGAAGAATTGTACTGTGATGCAAGTGAGAAGTAATCTGGTATCTTGAGTAGAAGTGTGTGTTACTTAAAGTATGAAAAAAAAATCTTACTTTTCTATTGTCCTTTTTTCTTATTACAGACGGTCATTTTAGAAAATGAAGAACTCCCTAAAATATTTCTTGATTTTCTGAATGTTCGCCATGTACCTACCCTGCCAAAAGCAGAAAGCTGTGGGTAAGTTCTCATTTACTGAAAAATATATAGAGGCCAAAAGGCCCACATCCATTCGGTACTGACGCAGTTGCATTGACTTAAAATGGTCTTGCTGCCAACTCTTACACGATAAGATAAATGGGCATTAGGTTCATGTTAAGTATGTTTATATATCCTCAAAAGGTGGTAAAATAAATTCAGTCTGTTCACAGACAGAAGTGAGTTTTAATGTAATATTCTTGGAAAGCAAAGGAGAGGTTAGATGAGAAAAATATGATTTTCCTGTAGATGTTGGAATATCTATTGAAAGGAATTTTCAGATTCATAAACACTCACTACAGTTGCAGATAAAGCRTTTGTATATGTGTGTTTTCTGATTATTAGTATTTGGATGAGATAGCAATTCTGCAGATATGTTTATGACCCTTTCCATATGTTTGGAAATGGTATCTTTAATTTTCTTGGTGGCACCTGTCTCAGTGGCCCCATTGCCTGATGCCTGGAGGGGGATTCTTGATCAGGGCAGAAGAAGGGAATCTCAACATGGTGATCATTAGTGTAGGGTAACAGAAAATCAAAAAAATGTAACTGGAAACTCGTATATTCTGCAGGTGTAGCATTTGTGCGTAGGATAATCTCTTTTACTAGACAACCTGACATAGTTGGCAGGTCCAGCAGGATTGTCAGAACTTGCTCCCAGGAAAGCGATGTGGCCCTTTGCTGCTTGCAGGGAGTTTGTGTGCATTACCAGCAGTGAGCTTACACTCAGGAGAGAGCTGAAGAAACCAGAATTAATCTCAAGACCCTTTGTTTGGAGCCTGGGATGGTGCGTGGGGGCCTTCGCCCTCCAATCCGCGCGTCRTTGCCATCAAAGCAGGAGTGTTGCTGGGATGTGGGCATTGCTGAGTGCCCACGCTGGAAGCAGGGTGCTGCATAGGAGCTGGGAATGCACTGGAAGGAACATGGAGCTATTCCCACAGGGGAGTAAATCTGCACCTGCCTTTCAGCAGGATGCAAAGGAATCCAGCACAGCTTCAAGTCATTTTCTACCTCCTCAAATGGGCAGCCTTGCAAAGGGTAATTCAGATCTGCATCACAGGCCATGGTTTTCCCTACTGACTCTCTGCATTGTTGTTTCAAAGGAGGGTTGTAAGATCAAGTTTGGAAATTACTGTTTACTTTCAGTATATCTAGTGTTAAAAGATCTGCAGGAATTATTCTGCTTTTTACATACTTACACAATGGTTTTGAGAGTGCTCATTGATATGAATACAGCAAATATACTCTGTATGCAGTCTCTGTAACACTGACAGTCGTGCCACTCTCAGAAATTGAATGAATCTATAAATGTTGAACTCTTACTATGAAAAAGAAAAAATAATAAAAACGATTTAAACATTGAGTTTTTAGTGATTTGGGGACAAGCTAGCAGACTTGCAGTTAGCAGACTTGTAGTTTTGAGTTGYAGTTTTTACTTGTAGTTAATGCCAGCCAAGATTCACTATGGAATCGTATCCTATCAGTGGATATATAGATAGGTATGTGTGAGTTTATTGTAGTGAAATGGATCGATGAATGAACGAATGTCACTTCCAAACAGCTGTCACAAAATGACAAGTTCTCCCACATTCATATAATTGTGTTGCATTGTGCAGCCACTGAACAAAAAAAAAAAAAAAAAAAGCTCCGTTTGGTGGTTGTTAAGGGATTTGTCTTTTCGTGTGGAGTTAATATTATTGTAATCAAAGTTTCACTTTAATTGCAGCTCTTTTGATGAAACAGAATCCGAAGAGTCAAGGTGAGCTTGATTCCCACTCTTTCTAGACTAAGATGTTAGATAAACTATCTATCTAAACTGTTCCATGGCCCTGAAGCTG